AATATTGGGGTGCAGGTGTCATCCTGAAGTAGATTTCCTTCTGTATACAAGCCCAGGAGTGGGATTCCTGGGTCATATGGTAAGTCTATTCCTAGTCTTTTGAGGTATTGTGTTGGTTAGCAAAACCAGTCCCCTTGTCTAAAGTTTTAACTCTATTTAATTTAAACTGTCTTTATTCATGTGGATGAGAAGAAAGATACTTTTTACTTCTATAATTCCCCTCAAAAAGCACTGAGTCAAAACACTGAAATGCCCCTCCACTGAAACCCTGTCATAGTAAGACCTTCACCTCAGGCTTGCTGTGACTTTTAGGATGCCAGTTTTGAACAGGATGATAAATATGCGCTAGGCTAATAAACCTCACAACCTTTGTATTATTCACAGAAGACAATGCTGTTTATATAGTCTCAATTGTCTTTTTTCTTTCAGTTTCTATGCCACAATAATGTGTAGCCATTATTATGCTGAACTGACACAATACTTGGAGCAAAATCTTAAAGCTCTTTTGTTTTTGTTTCTTACCATCCTTTTAATTTTATTCAAGATTCTAGTTCTTCTCTTGTCCCTGCATGGAAACTGGCAGAAGTTCTAGAACCTTACTGGTTGCTTTCAGTTGCAAAATAAAACTTCACTTCTGGAATAAAATATCCTGCCCACTATGAGAATAAAAACTGCAAACTTGACTTGGTATGAAGGTGTCTGCCCTGCCCTCAGCTCAGACCCCACAGATGGGGAAGACTGCCATGAAGGAAAGAAGGGGTGAGCAAGACCTTCCTTCTTTCCACCATCCCCTGAGCGTTCCCACCTTCAGATGGTTCTGCAGTGTCTGACCCTTGGGGTTAGGGCGCAGGGGAAGCTGCGAAGGAAGGGCAGGAAGCCTTTAATTGAACAAAAACTCTCCTGAGCTAATGTCAGTGCTCTAGGATTATGGCAGGAGTTTAAAACTTATTTTGCCCTGAGATTTGTGAAATCTTTGGAGACCTCTGTGTGTCCTCTCCACACCTCACTTCTACTCATCTAAGAAGTTTCAAATCTAGTTCCCTTGGGTATGGTAAATGTCCTAGAAATCCAGCGACAGTTCCAGTGTCCCTGTGCCAGGTGGCCCTTTTGGGGTCATGAGTTTATCTGGGGGAAGCTTTTATACATCCTTCACTGTGGCAGTCGCTGGGGGTACAGTCAGCTCACCAACCTCTGCCCTCTCTCTGCCAGTCCTTTATGTATCTTTAGGATGATGCAGTCATCACTCTTCTGTAACTTCCTTTGGCTGGAGGGGAACTACAGAGGATGCAGGGGCTATTTTGGTGATTTCTTTAAAGCCCTGATCTCCTCGACATGAGATAAGGAGAAGATACTCTCATTTCTTCCCTTCCCTTTGGGAGAGATTTGAAGCACCACTTTCTCCTAAGAAAATGTCCTCAAAAGTACTCTCAATTCCCCAGATCCAAATCCTTTTCTACTCTTCATACATGAGAAGTTTCAGATTGTCTAATTTATTCTTACTGCTATCAAAAAAATTTTTTCCCAATCCTGCACTAGCACTGTCTTTAAAATGTGCTCCACCTGAGACTTTCACTTAAGCATCCTCTTACGTAAATAACACTGTGAAATGTTCCTCTGTGCCCACCCTTTACATACAGATAAATGTGTTAGGTGGTTTGTTTCCAAGAATTTACAAAAATAACCCTTTGAAACATTATATGTCTACCAATATCCTATAATAACATTGTATATGGTTTATAATGATGCAAAATGAAAATAATTGGAATGTAGAATGATTATCCACAGGTGGAACTTAGAATTCCAGATTGAAACGCCCTGCGTTAGACTTCTCACGTATCGTCCTCAGAAACTAGTAGTGAGCTCGTCACCCCAGTCTGGGGGTGGGGAGGCTTAGTATTTTTCACATTTAACAAAATAAAGATGACAAATGTTGCTGGTTCTTTAAATATACATTAAGGGATTCACAACTAGGAAGTACATTTGGGAGAATTCTGAAGCTGCATTATTTAGTCTGGTAGTCACGAGACACATGTAGCTATATAAATTTAAATTTAAATTAATTAGCTTATATAAAATTAAAGCTTCTAATTCTTATTTGCACCATTGTAGACATTTCAATTGAATAGCACAGCTCTAAAGACAGATGCCACAATGAAACCCAGACGCGTGGAACCACACTCTTCCTGTCAGAGCAGCAGAGGAATGTTCTAGAATTGTTCAGGATGGGCCGTCTAAGGCAGGGTTGAGGGTTTTCCCCACACAAATGATTAGATGCCTTTTGAGGGGCAGCTTGTCTTGATGATATGATTTGGGAAGATGTCCAGTTGGGCAGTGTATTACAGCACTGGCTCCGCTCAGTTACAGGCTTATCGCTGCTGGAAATTTCTTGGTATTACTCCACCTAGACCTGATGCCTCAGAAAAGCTTAGAGAGAATCTTAAAAGAGGCCAAGTAAGGACCTGACGTGGTGCAAACTGAACTCACTGCTAAATGTTAACATGTTTGGGGGGAAGAAACCCACTTGACTTGTAAGTGTGAGGTATCTCCATTTTCTCTTCCTGTCTTTAAAATAGTTACGATTTAGATCCAGTTTTTATTGGGATAATGAGATCAGCAGTCACCCTGTGTAAGATGTCACTGGAACCTTACTGGGAAATCTGTAATGCATTTTCTCTTTTTAAAATTTATTTATTATTCTTTTTCGCTTTTAAAAAATGATTTTTTTTTCAAAAGAACAGGAAAGAATGAGATAAAACCTGGAGACAATGAAAAAAATATGTCCTGTTTGTTTTCTGTGCAAAACAAAAGGTTAGGGCTATTTTTTTTTCAAAATAAAGCAAATAAGTCTTTGGTCATCTATAATAGGGCAGAGCTATTTTGAACAGTTTGATGTCATTTCTACATCCCTCAAGGAAACAAAGGGGAAAGTCAGAGGAAAGGGAAAAAGCAGCTTTGATAAGTTATGCCGGCCATTGGGCCCTGAGAGTGAAGCATCCTGTTTTTATCATGTGGCCGAAAAACAGTGGAAAAAAATTTACTGTGATCAATGGTATTCATTCTTTTGTTATTTCACAGTTACCTGCCTTAATTCCCTAAATAATCGAACTAAACGAGGGCCTTTTTAGTGACAGCTATGAAACAATGGGCTAGTCTGTGTAAAGGTCACTGGAAAATTACAGTTTGAGGTGGAGAAAGAATGGTGATAAACCAGAGAAACTTCATGATAGGACTAACATTCAGTCTTGACTGCCTGTCGCTATTAGACTTTATGACATTCCTATCAATGCCATCAATTAATACTTTCAATTATCGTGTAAGTCAGTGGGCTACACCATACACAAAAAGCAATAGAAAATGTAATGCTCATAAAAGGAAAGAATTCCTTCCGAACAAAAATGGCTTCTAAATGGACTTTCTGTGGTTCCTAGGATTGCTATATCTATTAATCATCCAATCATTTAAAAGGACGTCTAGCAAAATGACCTCAGAGATTGCTACCACTTGGAATTCATATCCTTTCAGTCGTCTTATCTCTGGGTGTCCAGGTGCAATCCCACAGCACTTATCAGCACAGCATCTATAGGATGTCACTCTAGCACAAGTACACTCGCAGCAATTATAGAAGAAACACCTCTTTACCCGTCTATATATCAGACTGGCTTTCTAGCGCATCCTCCATGCTGAGACAGAAAGAGGAGGGCAGAACAGCATCTCTACAATTTTAGTATATTTAGAAATAATATGGGAGGCAAAATTGTAAGGTCTTTTCCTTCAAGAATATGGTTCTTTAATCAAGCTGATCAGACATGGAATCATCCTTACTGTCCTTGTCAGGACTTATGAGAAATATTTAAAAATCCTGTCGGTCACCTGGATGTTTGTTTCACTCACTGCCAAACATCTGGATATTTAAACACACCCAGATAAAATAAGTTTCAGTGATTTTATATGAATTGTGTAGACGCAGCCTCAGATTGTGGGCAAGACAGCTTGACAGGATTCCAAAGAGCTATTTATACAATTAAGCCTCTATCAAGAGAGACTGAGATTTAAACCTCTGTCATTTGGAACACATTATGATTTATATGAAATTGGTTTACTGTTTTAGAGTTTCTATATATTGTTTTCTTCCATTATGGCTTCAAGCCTCCCAGTGAATTGGAAATATTCAAGTACTTAGAATCCCAACGGATTGCCACTGGGAGTAAACAGAAGCTCGCTCTCCCTCCCCCCTCTTTTTCCTGTTTTCAAGTTCCAGGGCCAGATATATGGCTGTGAGGCAACACAGAAGCAGTGTCAAGAAAACCATTTTGCTCAAGGGACCTGGCAGCTGAACTCTCCCCAAAAGCTTTTAAAAAGGAAGAAGAAAAATATATATATATATATTAAATGCCAATTTTAAACAACTGCAAAGATTTGCAGAGCCCTTGTTCACTTCATGATGTTGCTGTAGATATGAATGTACACCAAACGAGCTAACAGATTATGAAAAGTCGATGGTGAAAGTCTCTTGAGTTTCCTAACAGAGATCTGGGAAGTTTAAAAGCATATCAGGTTTCCCAGAGATTATTAACTCTGGACTGCATTTCAAAGTGTATCAAGGGCTGTCTGCTTTATACCAAGCAGAAGGGAATGTACTACCAGACTAAGCAGACAGAACTAATAAGAGCAGTAATAAATCAAGTTAAGAAATATTTATTGAACATCTCTGCATCTCCAGCATTGAGATGTTAGGTGTGTGATAAATATAAAATATAAATGAAAAGGTCTGTGGTCTCAAAAAGCTTAAATGAATTTGGAGCAATAAGATAATTGCACAGAAAATAAATAATAATGCAGAATTTGAAGAGCAATTCAAATAAATGACTCAAGAAATGTCATAAATAATGAAAACTAATCAAACCAAAGACATTTAAAAAAACACTTCTTACTTAAAGTTTTAGGCTAAACAGGCAACTTCATGAAAATGTTGCTGTGGGAAATACTGTTGGGTTTCAAGACACAGATATTTATACTTCTTCAGAGATGCCATGCTTTGGCTGAATCCTGCACTTCCCCGTTTGATGTGTTTGCAATGGGGGCGGATGGCCAAAATGGCTACAGCCAATGGCGCTCATGGAATGAAGTTAAAACTACATCATTAAAAAGAGAAAAAAAACAAAACAAAACAAAACAAAAACACTATGGTCAAGTCATGGAATTGCAGGGTAGGAAAAAAAATGGGCCCAGACTCTTGAAAATACCAACACATGACACAAAAACTAAAGTTTCTATTTAACTTGTAAGACTTCCCTGAATTATCTACCAGATCTTCCCCTCCTTCAAAAATCACTGAAAGACCAAGCTTTGTAGCAGTTTCCACTCCTTGCTTCTTTCTTACTTTTGCTAATTATGCTTATTAAGAATATCAGAAATTATTTAAACTAAGGTCAGTTAAGCATGTCCCCATTCTCTTTGACCTGCAGTCACCAAGACTACCTCTGATGCCCATGAACTAGCTTCTCTTGATATTCAGTTGTTGTTGTTACATCATTAGGATGTACAACAAAGACTTTAAAGAAAGAAAAATAAATAGCCATGAAACCCCAGTATAAAGTAAATAAACAAATGAAATATTTTTAAATGAAGAAAGACTTTACAACCCCGGAGTAAATTAACTAACACAGAGAGAGTAGGAGAGGTGAGAAAAGGGCCAAATCCCTTATCTTGAAGAAAGAGGGATCAAAAATTATTTTTTAATAGATTTTAGTAGTTTAACATGGTTCTAAGAATGGTATTAAGACACTAAGCTAATCTCAAGTAGAACTAAAATAGACTGCTTCCCTTTAAGGTTTCTTCTGAAAACAAAACTGATAGAGATCCTACAGCAAAATAGAAGAAAAAGAGCAAAGAGTCAGAATTAAAACATATCAGGATGAAAAAAATTTAACCCAAACACAGCACATCAGTAAGGGATTGGCAGCAGAGAGATGGAAGTGGGTAACTGAGTAAACAGTGCTGTTTAAAATGTAGGGGCAGGTTTATGGACATCAGTAAGTTAAGTCAGTACCGTGGATCCAGCAACATCAGGGACCTTTTCCACTCATTCGCCTAAAGGGCAACAGCAGGAAATGGTTAGCAGAACCCAGACAGTGGGTCTGGAAAGAACGCCTTTGGCAGGTAGGTGGTGGCATTTGGGGCAAAGACAGAGGCAATCCCTGGGGCCCAGCTTGGATGAACAAGGATCATCGCTCCTTACCTCCCTCTCTTCCTTTTCTCCAACACCCGTCTGAGCCTTCCACTGATGAACTCGACAGAAAGCCTGAGGACAAGGACATCTTTGACGTGATCCATGCAGTTCAGCCTCCTAGAGCACAGAGCAGTAGAAGTGGTGGAGTCGATCTAGAGGAGCAAAAAGAAGACACCCAGATGCCTACAACAGTTACAGAAATAATCGTAACTTGACATAATGGTTTTTAGAAAGAGCAGTGATCTACAATTGCGTGTTTCAAAAATTGCTTCACTGAGAGAAACTCACGTGCCATGGAATTCACTTTTAACCTATACAATTCTGCACTTATTATTAGTACATTCAGAGTTATACAACATCAGCATATGTATAATTTTTTAACATTTTCATCACCCGCAAATGAAACCCCATGCCTACTAGCAGTTACTCTCCTGTTTGCCCCTTCACCCAATCCCTGGCAAACACTAACCTACTTTCTTTCTCTAGGGATTTGCCTGTTCTGGACATGTGCTATACATGAAATCATATAATGCGTGGTTTTCTCTTTTTTTTTGTCCGACTTTATAACTTAGCATAAAGTTTACAAGGTGTGTCCACTACCTCATTCCTTTTTATGGCTGAATAACATTCCATTGTATAAATATATCACATTTTGTTTTTCCCTTCTTCAGCTGATGAACATTTCACTGTTTCCCCTTTTTGACTATTATGCATAATGCTGCAATGGATTTACATGTGCAAGTTTTTGTGTGGAAGTATGTTTCCAGTTCTCTTGTGTAAATATCTAGAGTGGCATTGCTGGATCATATGGTATCTCTATGTTTAACATTTTGAGGAGCCAACAAAAAGTTTCCAAAGAGCTATACCATTTACATTCTTCTAGCAATGCACAAAGTTTCCAATTTCTCCACATCCTTGCCAATGCTTGTTATTATTTGTCTTTTTTAAACTTTTGCCATCTTAGTGAGTGTGAAGATGTACCTCATGTGGTTTTGATTTTCATTTATGACTAAAATTGTGTATCTTTTCATGTGTGTCTTGACCATTTGTTTTTGGGAAACATCTGTGTTCAAGTCTTTTGTCCTTTTAAAAACTGGGTTAATCTTTCATTCTTGTGCTTTAAGAGTTCTTCATATATTGTGGTTACAAGTCCCTGATAAGATATGTGATTTGAAAATATTTTCTCCCATTCTATTGGGTTTTTTTTTTCACTCTTGGATGGTGTCCTTTAAAGCAAAATTTTTAATTTAGATAAAGTCTAATTTTCCTAAATTTTTCTTTCAAATTATGTGCTTTAGATTGCCCTATCTATGTCTAATGATGTCTAATCCAAAGTCATGAAGATTTATTCCTGTATTTTCTTCTAAGAATTATACAGTTTTACCTCTTTAATTTCAGTCTATGGTCCAATTTGAGTTAATTTATGCATATAGTCTAAAATAAAAGTCTCAACTTCATTCTTTTGCATATGGATATCCAGCTGTCCCAGCACCATTTGTTGAGAAGACTTCTCCCTTAAATTGCTCTGGGGCTTTTGTAAAAATGAATTAATAATTAGTGTATAACTTTATTTCAAGACTTTCAGTTCTATTCCACTGATGGATCGAACAATCGATCTACCTACTTACCAGCTATCATTTTATCTGTACTACACTGTCTTGATCCCTATAGCTAGAAAGTTCTGAAATCAAGAAATGTGAATCTTCCAAATTTTTTTTCAAGATAGTTTGGCTATTCTGGAGTTCCAGGCTGAAAGTATGAATTTTAGGATGTTTGTCAACTGCTTAAAAAAAAACCAGCTGGGATTTTAGTAGGGATTATACCTAACCCATGTATCAATTTGGGGAGAATTGTCATCTTAGCAATAATAAGGGGTTGAAGCATTGACCTTCACCCCATGCAGTTGAAAATTCACGTATAACTTTATAGTCGGTCCTACAAATCCATGGTTCTGCATCCTTAGGTTCAACCAACCATGAACTCTGCAGTACTATGGCGCCTATTTGTTGAAAAAAGATAGTATATAGGTGGACCAGTGCAGTTAAGGGTCAGGTGTATACAAATACTGAATCATCATGTTGTACACCTGAAACTAACATAACACTGTACATAAATTTTACCTCAACTTAAACAAAAAGAATAATGCCTCCCCCTTCCCAAATGATGTTCACATCCTAATCCCTGTAACCTGCAAAGAAGTTACGATGCATGGCAATTAAGGTTGCGGATGGAACTGAGGTTGCTAATCTGTTGATTTTAAGAAGGGGAGACATTCTGGACTATTTGGGTGAGCTCAGTTGTAATCACAAGGATCTTTAAAAGTGGAAGATGGGAGAAAGAAAAGTCAGAGTTATAGGGAGATTTGAAGACACTACACGGCTAGTTTGAAGAAATGGTTATGAGTAAAGAAGTAAAGAAGAGTAAAAGAAATTTTTTAAAAAAGGTAAAAAAGAAACGCAGGCAGACTCTAGAAACTGAAAAATGCAAAGAAACCCATGGTCCCATAGAAGCTCCAAAAGGATTACAGCACTGCTGACACCTTGACTTTTGCCCAGTGAGACCCATTTCGGACTTAAGACCTCCAGAACTCTAAGATAATGGATCTATGTTATTTCAAGCCACTAAGTTTATCCTAATTTGTTACAGCAGCAAAAGGAAACTAATACAGCTGTATTCCACGTTTTGGTATATTTTTTCATTTTCATTCATCTCAAATGTTTTCTAATTTCCCGTATGTACTATTTCTTGGTTCCACTGGTTATTTAGGGGAGCGCTTTTTAATTTCCACATGTGATATTATCAAATTTCTTTCTATTACTGATTTCTAATTTCATTTTATTGTGGTCAGAGAACATACTTCATATGATTTCAATCATTTAAAATTTATTAAGCTTTATTTTATGGCCTAACATATGGTGTATCTTAGAGAACGGTCCATGTGCTCTTGAGAAGAATGTGTATTGTGGTGTTGCTGAGTGGAGGACTCTACAGAAGTCTGTTAGGTCTAGTTGGTTTATACTTTTTTATTTCTTAGTTCAGCATCTGCCTGATTATTCTATCCATTATCAACTTGGGGTAAAGTTTTGAAATATTACAACTACTGTCATTAAATTGTGTGTCTCACTTCAGTTCTTCAGTTTTTGCTTTGTGTGTTTTGGGGCTCTGTGACAGAACAGGTTAAGTATACAACTGTTATATCTTAATTATTAATTCATCATTTTATCATTTGAAAACTCTATCACTAGTAACAATTTTTGTCTTAGGGTCTGTTTTTGTGATATTAGCATAATCATTTCAACTCTCTTTTGAGTACATTTTTGCATGGCATTTTTTTTTTTATCCTTTTACTTTCAGTCAGCCTAACTGTGTGTTTGAATTTGAATTGTGTCTCACAGACAGCATACAGTTTGGTCATTTTTTAAAAAATCCATCCTTCTTATCTATGACTTTTCATTTTAGTTCCGATCTATTTACATTTAATGTAATTACTGATAAGGCAGGATTTATAGCTGCCATTTTCCCATTAGGTTTCCATATAACTTAGTCTTTTGTTCCTCTGTTCCTCCATTACTGCCTTCCTTTGTGCCTTCTTTCCTAGATATATTTTATTTTATCACTTTAATTCTCCTACTGGTTCTTTTACTATATTTTAAAGGTATTTCCTAGTGGTTGCCCTGTGGATTACAGTTAACATCATAATTTAAAATAATCTAGTCCAGAATAACAGAAACTTAATTTCAATAACATACAAAAACTTTGCAACAGTGTAACACCATTCCCTTCCTGTAGCTTTGTACTATTATTGTCACACAAATTAAATCTTTATACATTATAAGTCAATACAGCCTTATAACTGTCACTTTATGCAACTGTGTTTTAAATCAAAAAGGGCAATAAAAGTTATTTATGCATTTATATTGTCTCTTATATTTACCTATACGGTTAGTTACCTTTACCGGTGCTCTTTATTTTTTTATGTGGATTCAAGTTACTATAAAATATCCTTCATTTCAGCTTGATGTACTCCGTTTAGTATTTCTTATAAAACAGTCTGATAGTGACACAGTCTCTCTTTTTTTGTTTGTTTGTTTTTCATCTAGCAATGTCTTAATTCCCCCTTATTTGTGATGGTATTTTCACGGAACATGGAAAATTTTAGTGTTTTCTCTCAGCACTTTGCATAGTCATCCCATTGCCTTCTGGACCTCATGGTTCCTGATAAGAAGTCACCTCTTAACCTTACTAAGGATCCTTTGTGATAAGTCATTTTTTTCACTGATTTCCAAGATTTATTTTTTGATGAGTCTAGGTATGGATCTCATTGAGTTTATCCTGAGTGGAGTTCACTGAATTTCTTGAGTGTTAAGAATAATGCTTTTCATCATTTTGGAACTTTTCATCTTTATCTCATCAGTCTTCTGCCTCTTTCTCTCCTGAGAATCTCATTATACGTATGTTAGCATAATGGTGTTCCAGTGGTCTCTCAAGTTCTACTAATTTTTTTATCATCATTATTTTTTCTCTCTGTTCCTCTGAGTGTGTAATCTCACTTAACGTATCCCCAATTCTACTTATTATTTCCTCTAACAGTTCAAATATGCTGCTGGGCCCCTACAGCAAATTCTTTTCAAAATTTCTATTTAGTTATTTTTTATAACTCATTTTCCTTTATCAGTGTTCTTTATTTTGGTGAGAATATTTTTCAAGCCTTCCTTTAAATCTCTGGAAATGTTGTCTTTCTTTTTGAACTTACAACATCTGATTTTAAGTCTCTGTCTGGTATGTCTGGGCTTCTTTAGAACAGATGCTACTAACTGCTTCTTCTCCTAGGCAGGCTCTATACTTTCCTATTTCTTTGTGTCATCTTATAATTTTTTGTTGAATCTTGACATTTTATTTAAAATACAGTGTGGTAACTGTGGAAATCAGACACCCCTCCATTAAGTTTTTAAACAATCAATTCAAATAACAAAATATAATAAAAATAAAATACTAGCAAAGACGTATCAGTCATAACCACCCCTAAATAAAGCAGAAGTGACAATATTACTATTGACACAAGAAATTAATGTGATTCAAGAAAAATTAATAAATAGAACATATGGCTTAATTTTGTATTTGTGAAGTATATGCTACACCATTGGTATACTTATAAAATTTTGTGTTATAAATGATTTATTATGAATTTCACACAGTGATGGAGAGAGATGGTATTCTGTGTGTTGTTGCACACACATGTACTTCATTCATCCCTTATTTTCTTGAGATTTATGTAAAGATTTGATGTGTTTAGTTTTTTGTTTTTTTTTTAATGGAGGTACTGGGGATTGAAGCCATGACCTTGTGCATGCTAAACATGTGTTCTACCACTGAGCTATTCCCACCTCCCTAGTTTTAATTTTTGTTTTCCAGAGTGTATTCCTTTAAAAATAACCATGACCCTTCAGTTATATTTGGGTAGATAATGAGGCCTAACTTCTGGGAAAGTAAACTTGAGGTTAAATTCTCATTTTACCCGCAGTTCAAATGATTACATTAGACTTCAGCAAAGGATATCAGGCTTTTAGATTAGTGGGAAAATATCATAGAGAAAAAGGAGTGAGTGGGGTGGCAACTTCTTGAGCCATGACAGTCTTCAAAAAATAGAAGAAGAAAGTATGTACACACATATATACATATACACACAGACTCCTCTTGACACACATATGAAAACAAAAACACACAGATGAGGGAAAAAAACACACGATGGACTTTACAATGAGGTCGAAATTGCTGTACAAGTGAGGGTGTGCTTTTGGGGACTGCATTTTTCTGAGAACAGATCTTACAAATTTGTATATGTGTTCACCAGAGGAAAGAAATTTTAAAACCTCCTTCTTGCATTTGCTGCCTGGGAGTGTTTAACCCGACCTCTAGGGAGGCCCTGTCTCTAAGGGAGTGAGAGTCACTTCTTGAAGTGTGGAGATTGATGGCAGCCAAGCTTGCATTAATTCAAAGCTTCTAGTTCCATGAGTGAAACTGGATCCCTGGGGACTTGGAAATTGCTGTGGGATTTTCAAATAAACAGGCTTTGGAACCACTGATACAAGCTAATTGCTAACAGAAACTTGAGAAGCTGGCAGAAAGAAACACGCCAATGACTGGTGAAAAATATTTGATTTGAGCAAGATTTGTAACGGCAAAAAAAATAGAAAGTCTTGGAGGCTGGGATGTTCTGCTGACTAACTTATTCTGCAGTCTGGCCTGAGGCCTTATCAGTGGATTAAGCCATCCTTATGTCCAATTCTGTGCTGGGGTCTCCAGTGCTTTAGAGCAAGTATAAGAACTGATAACTTGAATTTAAAATGCTTCTTCACTAAAGAAGAAAAACATTATTCATGTTTATATTAGCATGCAGGTTCTGCTGAAAAGATTTGCCTAGGACCAGTTAAGTATAAAGCTTAGAGATTCCTAGAGTTGGACAAGATTCATAAAGAGAGTGATATTTGAGCCATGTTTGCTAAAAACTTCTTGAATTTTATAACAAAACCCAAGGGATAATTGGAATATTCACTGTTGATAATTCATCAAGGCTCAGGAGAAAAAGTTATTCCAGGTGCCCTCTGGAAGTTGGACTGAGTAATGACATTTAGTTGTGAGATGCTTGGGGCAACCTTGAAAATCAGAAGTTAAGCTGGCATGCCTCTGACTCTTAAAGTTGGACCCTCTCAGGGAGCAGGGTGCTGTTGGTGGAGAGTAGGTCAGTTGGTCAACAGATATTAGTGTATTCCTCAGATCAAATGGGGCTCTGTCCCTTCATTTGATCCTAGTGAGAAAGAGTCAACCATAATTATTTTAGGCATAGGTACCAGCTACATTTGGAAGTAAATGCAACCAAATCAGTGATATACTTGTACATTGTTAATATGGGTGGGGACGGATATGAGTGGTATGGCCGTGTTCCAAAACAGACAGAGACGAAGAAAAGTTTTGGCAAGGAAGATTACCAGAATAATTTTAAATTGATGAGATTTTAGCAGCCATTTAACCCAGCTTGTTCTCTGTATTAAGACATAACTGAAGTCTCCAAATAGCAAGTAATCAATAGAATTAGCAGAAAAGCCAATCTGAGAACTCAGACTTACTAAAACTTAAGTCCCGAGATAATATTTCTCAGAGATGACATAGGGTCTTGACTGGATGTACCAAATGGAGAGGTATTTGCCTACTTTTCAGTGAGGATGAGGAGCTAACCAAGAACTTAACAGAAAGTGGAAGAAGCCTGGAGAGTAGATGGTGGTATATGTGGTTATATATCATGAAACTCCAATTAAATGGTTTTATAATGTGAAATAGATTTGCTATGGAAATGGCAATGGACAGGACACGGAGCCATTCACACAGTGTTTTTAGTCATCAACCCCTTATAGTCATTTTAACTTTTCTTATGCAGACACTACAAAATCAAATAGGAGAAAGCAGCCATTGATACTAGTAATTAAAACTGACCCATGATTACATTGTGCATGCCCAATGCTAATAGTGACTACTTCAGCTACTGCTTCTACAAAGATAAGCAGGGGGGATGGGAACATGGACAAAATGCAGAACAAATAAAGAATGAGGGCAAATACTGAAGCTACCATTGCATTACTAATGGAATTTTCCAGAACTGCCTTGATAGATCTGCTTCTGTATTCGTAGTTTTCAATTTCTCTCACATCTTCCCCATGCTTGGTTTCCTTTCCAAAAAGAATTTCTTTACTTAGATTTAAAAACTATTTGCTCAAGGCTCTCCTGAAGACCCCTAAGCCAAAAGAATACGGATGTGTTCTTTTTGCCCTTTTAATTATGTGCCATGTAACCAATATAAATTTAGTAAACAAACCACACAATATTCGTGGATCTGATTGTTTCTGGCAGCCAGTGGCTAAAACTTCATAATGTAACATATTTGTGGCTGTCAGTACACAGAGATTATATCTACTCCAAAGAACGTAAGACGGAATAGCAAAGCAACTCTTTGAAGGTCAGGATGCATAAAATCAGAAATAGATACAAAAACTTTTGCTTCCTTTGCTTCCTGGTTTAATCTTTTGGCATTACGTTTAACTTTAAAAAAATATATCTGCAACATTTGGTATTATCCAGATTACTTGGAAAAGATGAGTCCAAAACTGACTCTCTCCTTTTAAGGTCTGCTGAATACGGTCCTATGTGGATAGAAGAAACTGTAAAATAAAGTGTTCTCTACATGCTACATATGGAAAGACTTAATATAAATTAGTCCTAGCACTGCAAAATCAGTAGTGTATATAATGTTTTATGTTTTAATACTGTTATCTTGAGCATTTTAATGTGATTTACAAAAAAAAACTGTTACTCTACAATAAATGTAGAGAACAATGGATTTGTGTAGTATGAAATAATACATCAAAATAAAATCATGAGTGTACTTCCATTTCTCTTTATGGCATGGTATGATCTAGTTCTTGCTCACATATGGAACTCTGAGCACTGTGGCTTTACCAATGGGGACTCGAAAGAGAATTTAAGGTGATTAACGCTAATTCTAAATATATATATTTTGATGAATGCAAAATCTATTTAATAAAAAGATTTAAGATGTTCAAAGTGTCTTGTACAAACCTAAAAAAAGCTTTCTTTGAAAAATTAAATTTGTTGTTTTTTAAAAAATGACATCATCCAAGTGTGTTTTTAATCAATTATCACTTAGATAATTCAGAGGGCAACATGTATGGAAAAACAATGGCGTGATTAACTAGGCGTTGACCTTGTGTCATGGCACGGGTCCAGGGAGAGCTTATTAGTTTGAGCTAGCAGTAAATATGAAACCGAGGGCATCGTAAATCATAACAGTAGGATTAATCTGAATGTGAATCAGATACATGGGTAAAGCTGAGACATTCCCAGTTAGTCCAGAAACAGCTCCATGCAGTTAGTGGAAAAGAAAACAATAATTTTCATACACAGGTCTATGCACAATCCTTTCCATTTTATCTAATAATTTTCAATGGAAGAAATTGGTCCTTATACTTAAATAAGAATTTTCCTTAATTAAATAAATCAGAAACAACGGCACTTAGGATAGCTGCTGATGCTAGGCAGGACAAAATCTTTGGGGGGGGGGTCCTGTATTTTGTTTCTCAGAGAGTTTTATCTAGTCATCTGTTAAAAGCTTCCAGAACCAGCACACCTTAAGGCCATTGTTTTCACACCATAAACTCACTGTGTTTAGTTTGTCCGGCTCATCATAGAAGTTTCCAATTTTGGAAGAACATTACGACCCGTTCTTCCCTGTGGCAGCCAATTAACTGGCTGGACCATATTAGACAATGACTGAAAACTGGTTGGAAGAGTTCTGAGCCCCATTTTGATTCATCCCTAATATACATAAAAACACTTAATCAGGGTCTTAAACAGAGCCTTGAGTAATGACACTCGAAAACTTAGTTCCCAAATTAAGAAAGAGTATTCTGAAAGTTCCCTGCATTTGGGATTGTCAGGTTGATTCACTTCTTACCTGTCATGAACATGTTCACTTTGTTTGCAAAATCTGATAATTGGTCAGAATCAGTAAGTTTGAGTTTTTATTACTTTGTTATTTCTGGACGTAAGTCTCTGGTAATGTAACTATCAGAGGAAAATGAAAAGCAGGAAAAGACCTGGAAAGTAATTATTTGGTATTATGGTAAAATAGCAACAATAAAATTGTTTCAGTAAATATGATTTCTTTTTTTTCCACTTTAAGAGAAAATTGAATAAACTCAACTGTGTATGGAAACACAGCCAATCAGTATCCACTAACTTAGTAATGTCAGTTAATCAGAAACAAACATGTGCTTCGTATTCCTTTGGAGTTTGTACATGGGTATTCTTCCATTTATATATATTCATTTTTCAATCAGACATACTGACTATATATAAAAAATATATTTCCCTACCGTCGTCTGCTTATAAGCCAGCTGTTGTTGTTGCTTTAACAGTTGCCATTAAGACTTACTTGTTCTTCCCCAGAGGCACTGAAAATGTTCACCGTGGTGTGAGTCATACGGATGGCTCCTTCCCGTCAGAGGATGAATCAGTGTGGGATGCCTAATTCCAGAGGGGTCTAGGGGAGGAGAAGAGATGGTCAGTGTCTATCGTCTTCTAGCTCAGTCCATTCCAGAAATACATACACAAAAACGACTCAGTCCTTTCAGTCTAGACCAGAGGCTTCTTCAAGCACTTTAATCATCTTGGATTCATGGTAGAAGCAAAGCAGGAAAGAGTGGCTGATAACATTATATTGCACATGTGATTATTACCCTGGATGATGAAACACACTTTTGTCAACCTGTGTAAGAGTTAAATTAACTTAGTAAATTAAAGGTAGTTAAAAGAGAAGAAAAAAATCTATTTTTATGATTAGAGAAAATACAAAATTATACAGGGTAGGTGACATTTTTATGTCATTCAATTTTGTTAGACTATAGCAAGCCAATTAGAGAAAATTAAATTTCAAGCCTGATTGATTGTTTTAAATATTCATTTTAAGCCCTGCATTTGGTGTTTGTTATATTCTATAGGAAATATCAAAGAACGTCCGCTGCATCAGGAATTAAATGAAACCTATACTGTCAATAGCCTAGCCGGGGCTTTTGATAAAGTATTATGACATTTCCATATTACGCAGCACCATAAAATGCTAAACATACACTGAACACAGGACTATAAGTTTCAAAAGGCACATACTGGAAGCTGGAGTGTTTGGCATTTATAGCTGGCTAGCATGGGAAGATAATGAGGAGTTTGATACCTTGGAAATCATAACTCTGAAATATATAACAATAGTTTCCCATCAAGATGGATCGTATATCAAGCAATATTGGAGGATAATTCAAGTCCGCAATGCAGTCTGCTTTTCATTTCAAGTGGAGGGTGATGTAAGCCATAATTTATCCAGGTAGTACGCATGTGGGAAATAATGACAAATTTAAGAGCAACTTATGACAAAGAAATCCACTTAGGAAAAAGATGAAAGATTTGATGTCCTCTTGGCTCTCAACTTTTTTCCCACTACTATTTTTACCCTTCTCCATGGCTGGAAAATCTTTTGTGTTAATATGGATTCATGATGAAATATAAGTATTTCTTTAAAAATATAAAGGGACATATACAACTACCAGGTAGTGTTACCCGCACTGGTGATTGAGATAAAGTGGGATAAATCATTTTCATGATAGCTTATTGTAAGGATCTACTTCTCCAGGAAAATCTAAATAATTGTCTGCCAAAAATCACTTCCCATGTTAAGATGTGCAGTGACTCTTATACACTAATTATTTCTTTATCCCAAAAACTCCTTTATATAGAAATGGAGTTGGGGTGGCCTAGGACCAGCACTTCTGGACTTTGAAAAGAGCTAAATGATATTTTGCTTTAGTTTTTCATTTCAGTATTTAATGAAACATTGAGAGAGTGGGAAGGTAGAAGGAGTTGTTAGTGAGAATAATCCGTTGTGATCTGACAAGATAGTGGGATCTCCCTGGCCTTTCCCCATCAGCTACATAGGCTTGGCCAGTTGCCACTTGGGCTCTCCATGTGCCACTAGATGAAAATATATCTCATTTCAGAGAGGGTTAGAGTTTGGCATGGTGGACCGGAGTTTTACCTCCCTCTCTGCCCTTACTTCCTTTTTTTAAAATAATATGAAGCTATCTCGCCACTCTAAAATCTAAAGACACTATATGAACAATGGAGCCATTTTTCTTCTTTTTTTTTCTATTTAGACTAAACCTTACATCTTCATCTCCCTGAAAACCAATCAATCAATCAATCAATTTGAACCAGTGGTCAGGAGATAGGTCTTTTCATATCTGATGACAGTGAAATTGTTTTTAACACTTTAACTTTCTTGTGCCTCAGTTTTCTGCTTCATTTGTGCTTACAAACATGGTGATAATGGTAGCAAAACACATCCTTGACTTTCAATTATCAACGCTAACATGAGAAAAAATAAAAATGAGGTTAATATAAATTATCAATCATTTTATTTTGGTGTTAAAATTAATTTCAATTTCGCAAATTTGTATTTTCTTTAATTATGGGAGGAAGGCATTGTTTCAATTGATTTGGATTCTTTGATTACTCTCAGAGTAACACAGAAGGTAACAGATAAATTCCAGCACAAACTCAAGTAAAATATTATTTAAGGATATAGCACCATCTCCCAGTGTTCTTTTCAGATTTTTAAACTTAATTCCTCTTATTTTTACTTAGGAATTGGTTTCTAAAGAGATTTAAAAAAAAAGTTGTTAAGATGGTTGACATTTTGAATTTTTTTTTTTTTTACTGAGGTACAGTTAGTTTACAATGCTGTGTCAATTTCTGGTGTACAGCACAATGCTTCATACATGAATATACATATATTCATTTTCATATTCTTTGAATATATTTTAATTTCATTGTAGTCATTTTCCCCCTTAAAGTCAAGTAACCTTAATTTCTTTTACATTCTTCTATGTCCTCATTGCCAATTATGTAATCATTTCCAATGCTCTACTTTAGTGTCCTTACACATATTCAAAATCATTCATCTTATTCACTCTTTAAACAATTCTGAACACAAAATGAAAAGTTACATGATAGAAAACACAAAAAATTAAATATTTTAGAAAAACTATCACATAGCAAGCACTCACAGAGAAAGCTTAGGTTAAACAGGCTTATACTTCAACAGCAGGGCTTAACTTAGATTTACTTGTTTACTTATAAACACCTGACTTACATCACAAAGGGGTTGTCAGAGATTTTAAAAAAATAAACATAATAAAGACAAAACAAATACCTGAGAGAGAGTAAAGGGAACATAAGGGTTATACTCTAATAAACCCCTGGATATAAGAAGTATAAATATATGAAAGTTACACTGAAGTTGAAGAAAGGCAGGTCACAAATTTGCTCTCAAAGCTTTCAGCAGTGAAAGTAAAAAGGGAACCAGTATCAATTACAAGAATCACAATATTCCTAAGACTAAAGAATGAAAATAAAATAGAAAACCATAATTCAGGAAAAAATATCCAAAAGTAAAAACCTGAGAAATTTCCCTCATAGCTTCTCATAAACAGGTATTAGATAATGTAATAGCAATATTTATTGGGCTGTTGCTTATGGGGCTTCTCAATACAGGCAACTGGCATAAAGCTACTGGATAATTTAGTGAAAACCAATAAAAACGTTGCAAAACATTCTGGTTCAATGCCCAGCTCTTTGGTTTGACCCAAAGATTGAGTCAAAATATATACGAAAATAAATATTTAACATGCCCATCAAGCCTACGGGTGCAAACAATTCTCCACAGCCCGTGTTTTGATAAGGATTAAATGGCAGAGACTTAAACATTTTCACCTGCCTGAGAAGACCTGCAGTGGCACTACTTGGTACTGCAGATTAAGTGTTCAATCATATCCCTCGAAACTCAATTAAACAAAAATAGTCTTCAACTGCCTTTCTTATCTAAGATAACAGTAGGACCTGGTCTTAAGAAAAGATATAAAGAAGAAACAATACATCAGCCCAAAGGAATAACTGAAATCCCCCCTTTTTCAAATTTAGGAACTATCAGTCTTAAAAAACATGTAGTTCTAACACACTTGTGTAGAAATTATCTCTGGCTAGTCACAGACTTCTCTGAGAGAAATAAACTCAAATTCTAGTAGAATCTGTGCTACTGATGTTAACTGATATTCATGGCAAGATGTGTGTTTCAACAGAAATAGTTTCTAGTACATGTGAAGTCAGAACACCGATCACATTTGGTAACTATGAAAGTGATCTGAAATGCACACAATGGTCTATAAATATAGTTCTGATTTGTTTGGCTTTCCACAAAATTAAAAATGAAATGCTACTACTCGTTTGCCAAACACATCAACTATTTGGTCAAATTCATTTTGAGGGAATCTGGAGAATGTTCCATTGTTTCAAAAGTTGCCTTTTTAGAAGAGGAGGCTTGCTCCCCACCCCCACACCCCAAGAGAGCAATGTAGAGAACAGAATTCTCCTGGAAAAAATTTCCAGCTCTAATTCTCAAGGAAAAGTAATTTCTTATTTGCCTCCTCAGCCCCCTTCGAGGACCACACGGCAGTTTTGTTCTATTGCTTTTTTTCCTTCCCCCTCCTGTAACCTCTCATTCTTACAGCGCTGAAAAGTTTAAACAAAAATGACTTTGTTTGGTTCTGCAGAATTAACACGACACTCAGGCTTATTTCTAATTGACTGCAGATGTTTTTTCAGCAGAGAAAAGCCTCAGCCTTGTGTGCATAATTCTTACACTGCCCTAATGGAGGGAAGTGAGTCCAAAATTAGCAACTTTCTCAAGTCAAATCTGGCTATGTGCCACTTAAGACTTTGGTTTTTGTTGTTGTTTTGTTTTGTTTTGTTATATATATATTTTCCAATTTTCCCAGGGTGTTCAGACAGAAGATCTTAAAAAATCTGCACAGGGAGGACCACCACGTTTGTAAGAAACTTAGAAACTCACACTAATCATTGTGGCAGTGCGTTTACGTCTCCACTCTGCTCTCTGCCCTCAGAAATAGAACTTTAAAAAAAATCGCAAAATCGTTGATCTCTGCACAGCAGAGTGTCAAGCTTTGGAGGGAATGAGGTCAACTCCAGGGTTCTGTTTTGACTGCCCTGAGACGGAGCTGCTGACATGGACAGACTTGTGAACACCAGCTGAAGACAGGGACACTCTGTGTTCTTTTGACTCTTGGCTTCAACAATTTGCTGCGAAAGATGTTACAACCTCATTGTTCCTTCCAGATCCAAGGCCCTGTGTTTATGTGTCCAGAACAGCAGGTCTTGGGGCTGATTATGTTGTCTTTTTAAATTATCACTTTGATTATTGAGAACATCATAATTAGGTGGTTCGTGTACAACGTCTCTGCTCCAGAGGCCTGACCACGGGACTGACTAGAGAAAGAATGCATGGCCCATGGAGACGTGTGTTGTAGGTGGAGGAGGTGTGTGTGCTGTGCTCTTCTCTCCTTTCGGTGGAAATTTCAGGACAATTAAGCCAACTTTCAGAAGGTATGATTACATCTAATGTGAAAATAAAGAATCCCCAGGGATTACACATTCATACTTGAGGAAAGAATGTCTAAGTGGTTAGAGGGACGTTGTAATAATGCTAATGAACAGAGAAGTCAGACCCTGGTGTACACTCAGGACTGGATTTAGACAGATACTCAGTGAAGGAAGAGGATTCCTGACGACCACCAGCATCGTCAGCCCCCCACCCAGACTGCTGACGTGCGGCTACTCTCACCTGGAGCCCTCTTGCTGCCCTGCGGTCACTGGGTTTTTATTGGTTTCAACAGTATGCTTGCATTTTGGAAAAGTTCATCTGCAAGTACAGCGTCGACAGCAGGTTTTAGTGATCCAGACAACACTGACTTACCATGGATTTTGCCTCCACGGAATTATTTTCAAGGACTCAGTTACACAATCATTCAGATCCTAATTTAGATAGAGGAAGCATCCTTTTGGCATATGGTTTCAAAAAAGACTTTCAAGCAAAACTTAACACTTTGAGGAGAGAGGAAAGATATATTCATCTTCTGTTTTTGTTTTTGTTTTTTCTTCCGGTAATCGTAATAGGCCTTCCAGGAAGTCTCTGTCACGGACTCAGAGCAGGTCACAGCTTGAGAAGCTAGAGGTGGACTCTTGGCTTCTAGAGAACCAGCTCTTCTCTTGCTCAGACTGTGTTTATGAAAATGGAAAAGTCACGAGAGCATATCCTACTGGGTTGTGTTTTTTTCCCCCACATTGTAGGAAATTGTTGTTAATAAACTACTTAAACATTAAAAATGTAGGAATTTCTGAAGTTGCTGTAATAATAAGACACTGTCCTTAAGAGCTGGGAAGGTTTAATGGGCTCAGCCCATCTCTGTGCATATGAGAAGATTTGGCGCTTTAATGATAAATAATGAGCATGCTATTTCAAAGTGGAAACAGCAATATGAAAGTTGAGGAAAAAGAATTACTGGACACATGAACAATGTCTTTATAAATACCCTCTACGTGAGAATTCTTACAGGTTAAGAGATGTTAAGCTTCCATATGCCAAGTAGCATACCTACCTGCCTGACCTATGACCTTACCAAGCAGATGCCAAGGTGAGTTGAATATAGGTGATAACAAATTATAAAGCGTATATAGCTTTTAGAAAGAAAAGAAGTACCAAAAAACACTAGAAAATCAAACCAACACCTGCTTCTTTCAGAGCCTGAAGGAAAAGAGGATTATTTTTGAAGCATGTTTAAATTCAAACAGCAGTAGAAAAAGACTTGTATTATCCATAATCAAGGAAAACATTTTAGGCTGATTTCAGCCAAAAAGACTAAGCCAGAATACAGTAACTAGTAAACAGATTTTCCCCCCATGCAATACCAACAAAGAGCTTGGACACACTGACCCACAGGGCTGGATAGCCAGGAAACAAAAGCCTTTCCTCAACGCCTTAGAAATTTGATATTAAGCAGTTCCCAATGCACTTAATTTTTGGTTTCTTTTCTCTCAGTTTCAGTCTCTGTTTGTTACCTGCTCTGTGTATATACCTCTAAAGCACCTAGCTAATAGCTTTTAGCTAAATAACTTCTGCTTTTAAAGGGAATTCACAGTGTCGTACTCTCACGTTATCTTGTAATTGATTGTTTTTAATGGATGGGTCTTTCTGTTTAACTAAGGATTTCTGACCTTTAGGACTGTTAGTATTTCTAGGTGATATTTACTCTGTTGATCTCTTGCTTTCATTGTTCCTTTGCACTCTTTGTGTGTAGTTTCTATGTTTAAACTGGTGATCTCATGTATTTTGAAACTAAACACCCAATCTCCTTGGTCTGTATACTTTCTGGTCTCTAGCTGTGGAAGCACCCTCCTAATCCACCAGATAATGTTGAAATCACAGCTTCAGATAAACTCTGGTGCTTCCTGTTGGAGGAGAGGAGTTACCTGTTGGGGCTTAGCAACTCTAACTTATTTTCTGTTTGATTTTTGTTTACTATAGCTAATAATATCAGACTTCGGCATTTCAACAACTTACTGAGTAAGGAGGAAAAGAAAAAATTTTCTGTAAGACCTTCACACTATGGATTATTTGCTACTTTGGGGGAATGATTAAGGGTAAAATGGTACACTTAAAACAGTGTTACTTATTCCCCAAGGACAATATCGAGTTACAAATTATCTACCAGATGGTTTGAGGTCAGTTCTCCTGGGATGGGGTGAGATTGAGAGGGTATGTGAAATAAAGTTAAACAAATGCTTAAGGAGGTTCTAAAGGAAAGAATCAAATAAAGGGGTGTATGAAAGTGGAAAAGATCAGTGGAATACTTTTTATCTTAATAACTTGTTCTATACTTATGGGCTCAGAAGCCCGTAAGCAAGGTTCAACCTCCAGTTTACATCACCTGGAGTTAGGAGGCAGTCTGCCTGGATCCCTGTCCCATGGCACGGCCCCTGGAGTGAGAAGGCTGGAATGGAAGTGGAATGATGACTGTGAGTCACTGCACCCTAAAGTGGATGCCATCCAATCTTCCCACATCACTCCTATGTTAGCTAAGCAATGTCCTTCACAGGGAACAGGAAACCTCTCAGGAGTCTTCGAAGAATAAAAGCAGTAATTGAAAGTGAGGTGCTTAAGCAGTCCCAGCAAGCAAGAAAATGCAACAAATACCATTCTATTTACTGGCTTTCAAAAATTGAAAAAGAAAAAAAAAAGATTTAGCACCAGAGTGCATTTAAGAAAGAAAAATCAAGACAGTCTAGCAGAAGCTGGGGGAGGAGGGAACACACGGAGTAAAAATTCCCTCTGAGCCTACAGAAAGCAATAAGAGTTCTCATTTAACCTCAGAAAATGACTTGAGAATCACTTGTACTTTGAAACGATTCTAAATTGCAAACTAATTTCCCAGTGGGATATGTTGATGGCCTACTGTACACAGCATAAATAATGAGTTTGCAACCAGGACCCCAAATAAAGCAGTGCACGTTCATGGAATTTATGAACATTTTTTTCCCCATCTGACATTGCAATGTTAATGCTTCCAGTTAGGAGTTTTACTGTGTCAGCAGGTGAATTCCCTGGCAGTAAGTCAAGCTCTAATGGAACACGCTGGTAGGAATGATTATGCCATTGCAGTGTAAAACTCTGGTGCCAGTATTAGGCTTCTAGAATACACGGGCACAGCCTGCTCCCTACCCCGACCGCAGATGTTCTCGGCTGTTTGACTTTTAATGTTACACTTGAAATTGACTATGGCAAAGTAAGATTTCTATTTTATACAGGATTTCAGAACTGGAAATTATAATAATATCAAGCCAAGCCTTCTTTTCTATACAAGAAAGAAATCTGAGGCTGGTTAGATGGTACCCATTAGTAAGTGGCAGGACTAGGATGCTAACCCAGGACCCCTCTATTCGTGCTCTGTTCCTGTCTCTCTTTAGGGTGCTGCCTCTTGCTCAAAAAAAAAGTTGGATGCAATAAATTTTATAAATGTGTTTAAGAAAACTGGACAAAAATATGAATCTGCAGTATAATAACAGAAGACAAAGCATACGCTGGTATATCTGATCACTCAGACTTCTCTGACTGAGAGACAGACATGCAGTGAGAAGTCTACAACTGAGTATGATTTTTCACAAGGCTTCATCCTCAAAATTAATGATATTACTAGACTGAATGTGACTGAACAGTTAGTATGATGCCTAGAAACAACTTGCTGAGGTTATGACCGATGGTCCTTACTCGCCTTCAAAAGTGAAGAAATACCTTTGAGTCAGAAACAACTGAAATTTCCTAAGAAAGCCTTGTGTGCCACATTGCTCAGGAAGGTGTAGCCTGGGTACACTCAGCCATAGCTCTTCTGAGACCATTCAGGGGTGTCTATTCTGTGGGGGACATGTGGTTTCCTCCACAAGAGCGATGCCCAAATTCTTAGCCACTCATCCTAGGGTGTTTACTCTGCTACACAGTACAGACTCCGCCCCTCAGAGCAATTCCATTTCTACAACCTTCCTTAAGCATCCCACGGTTCATACAGCTGGCAGCAGTGTTGCTTTGCTGCACCTTCTTCGTTCATTATAGGCTTCTAACCCTAAGCCTATAGGCACAATCTGAGTTCTGGTCTAGCATGAAGTTGGTGCCACCATTACAAAGCCATTCCATCTGGGCTTGGACGTCAACCAGCAATCCTTTGCTCATTGGTTCCTTTTCCTCTTCTTTACATCCACTGTTTTAGTCAACGCTCTTTTCAAATCCTTTACTTGATTTCTTCATCATCGTTCTTTATAGATAAGCATCCTTTTCCATTTCTACAAAGTCCATCAAGAATACCTCAAACTGGCACCCATCGCCATCAAACTGTACCCCAGACCATCACCCTCTCCTTTCCTACACTTGTCCTTCTATTGTCTGGACCCTATCACGTTTTGCTCCAAAAGTTGTCCACTCTTTTCATATAGCCTTTTTCTTTCAGCAGGCAAACATGTTAAAATATCTTCAATCCAAGAGCCAGAAGAAAAGCAGAAACAAAAAATTCATTTGGCCACCCATCTCCCTTTAGCTGTTACTCTGCTCACCTTTCTTTAAAGAGAAAGCACTTCCTTACCTCTACAACTTTCCTACGAACAGGCACCTCTGCCCCCCAACCCAGACACATTTTACCAAGCCTATCCAAGGCTTTCCAGATGCTAATGTCAAATAACATGTTTAATTCTTCAACCTACTAAGATTCTCTGCTGAATTTGTCCCTTCTTACAACCCCTCTTCCTTTGGCATCAGTGACACTACTTTGTCCCGATTTTCCTGTAACTATTCTTGACAATTCTTGGCTGGTTTCCATTTCTATCTCTTACATGTTGGTGTTCCTCAGGATCACATCATCAGCCTTTGCTTTTTGTCCCATTTCACCCACTCTCTTTGGGTGAAAATGCAGCTCTCCTGGCCGCAACTGCCATTTCCACGTGGTAGCTCCCAAGTCTGCACTTCCAATCCAGACCTCTCTTCTGTGTAACAGAAAAATATGTTCTACTATCAACTGGACTTCATTTGCAGGAATTGACATATACACTTCTAAGTAGATGCAAATCTGGAGCCAGCCCCTTCTTACTTACCTCCACCTCATCCTTCCATGTTCTTCACCTGAGTGACGTATTCATCCACCCAGCCGACTAAATCAGGCAACCCATCACTCTCTTTCTCTCGCTTCCTTAACTTTTCAATCCAATTAGTGGCAACGATGCTATATATATTCTTTCATCTTAATGTCTCTCAAATCGTCTGTCTCTTCACTCCTCCAGCTCCACTGCCTTGGTTCAGACCAACTGGCGCACTCCCAGATTATGGATTATTGAAATAGCAAGCCCAGCGGTTTCCCTGCCTCCCCCCACGCCTTCCTCCGTTTCCTCCTCCCATGTGGATAGTGAGATGAAAAACATCCTTTAGATGTGCCACGTGACTAAGGATAAAAGCCAAACTGCTTCACATGACACTGAAGGCTCTCTGACACCTCTTGCGTCTTTGCCCTACAGTCTCGAGCACGTGCTAAATGGCCTGAGAAGCCTGTCCTCTCGCATCTGTCGTGGTGCTTACACAGAGCACTGTTCCTGGTGTTCACCTTCTCCCTTCTCCATAAGCCCCAAGGTGGGAGGCTGCGACCAGGTCTCTCAACACCTCAGGAGGCCTGGTTCATACTAAATACTCAGTAATATTTCTCAGGCAACTAGATGGCCATGTATCTAAAGTACATTATTATAATCATGGTCATACATTCTCAAGCATATGCTTTCATGTATTTTTATCTTTTTGTTTCATTAGATGCATTTATAAAACATTAAATGGCAGACTGCATCCCCCCCAATTCTTACCTTAGTCTTCAAGCTAATAATAAACATATTTAATTGAGGACTTATTATTTTCTCCCAAGCATGTTTTTATTACCTTGCCTTAATTTACTTATTTAATTTCTTCAAAAACTACATGGAGTTATTATTATTATCTCTGCTTTATGTATGAGAAAATTGATGCAGGGAGAGGAGCAGAGTGGAGCTTGAAGATGCGGGTCCAGAGCCCCCCTTTTTAACTGCGCTGACATCCTGCCCAAGTATCAGTGTTCCG